CACTTAGTGGAGAGGAAGGTAAGGATGTTTAATTATGATATTTTTATTGTCCAGACAGTTTTGAAAATAGGTTTTACTTATTCCATTTATTTATTTTTGTGTTAAAATAATTGAGTGAAAACCTTACTTTGTGAATAATTCTGTTTTCATACACATGAATTTTATGCTATATAGATAGATGTATTTGCCATCAACATTCTTGAATTTTTTTTTTTTTTTGTATCTGTGTACATATGTTCTTTGCTCAAATTGTGAACCAGTGGTATACAGATTTATAATTTTTAGGAAGGTTTAACTTGTTTGGATATTTTTTGTTGTACAGAAATGGTATTTTCTTTATATATTAGGTCTATCACTAGCAGAAGGAGCTCTTATGTAATAATTATAAATATCATTTAGGGAAAATAGATTAACTCTGATTTTTTTTTTTTTTCCAGCACTGACAGACAGACAAGAGAGTGCTCTGATTGAAATAATGCTTTGTACCATCAGACAAGCTGCTGAATGTCATCCTCCTGTGGGAAGAGGGACAGGAAAAAGGGTATGCCAATACATTTTTAGTATTCTAAACTATGTCTTTCTTTTTTTCAATATCAATTATAGTTACATTTGTAACTATAGAATCAAATTTTAAAATCTTATATTTTATTATTCCGATGATTTTTGTTTATAAATATTTGTTAGAACTAAATTTTACAACATTAGCAATTTGGGAATTTTCTTCCATAAGATATTTTGTTGGTTACTGCAGAGATACAGTGATTGACAGGTCTTGCCTTTAGGACTGAATATAATGCACTGTTTTAGAATGGTGTTTGTCTTTCCTGGTTTATTTTTAGATTAGCTTTACATTTTTATATTGATTGACAAGAGAGTGAGACTGATTTGTTGTCCCTCTCATTTATTGATTGGCTGATTCTTTTATGTGCCCTGACTGGGAAGGGGGGGAATCAAACCTACAATCTTGGCATATTGGCACTCTAACCACCTAAGTTACTTTGCCAAGGGCTTTAGATTTGCTTTTAATGAATAAAACATAATTATTCATTAATGAGGAAATTCCTCCTCTGGCTGTGTTGCTTAGCTGGTTTCGCACTGTCTCATGTACCAATGGGGTTTGATTCCCCATCAGGACACTTGTCTGATTTGTGGGTTCTACCCCCGTGGGGGGCCATTCAGGAGGCAGCTGTTGGTTGTCTTGCTCTCACATCCATGTTTCTCTCCTCTCTTTTCTCTCTAAAAATGAATTCTAAAGAAAAATAAATAACAAATCAATTCTAAAATACATTTAAAATGGGGAAATTCCTGTTTCCTGGGATTAGATTTTAATGTATCATTGCAAAGTTCACATATATTTGTATTGTAGATCAACAATTACATAGGCTTTCAAGCTTTTATGATTGTGAATCACAAAAATACAATTTTATATTATGACCTACCCTGTTTCCCCGAAAATAAGACAGTGTCTTATATTAATTTTTTCTCCCAAAGTTGTGCTAGGTCTTATTTTCAGGGAATGTCTTATCTTTCCATGCGCTAGGTCTTATTTTCAGAGGATGTCTTATTTTCGGGGAAACACGGTAGTACATATCTATATATATGTTTTTGTGTGTAACTAAAAGAAAGTTCATCAAATAATGAAACTCAGAGTATGTGATGTATTCTATTTTCTTTCTTTTCTGTTTTTTAATTACTGGTAGTGACCTTTTTTTAACACTTAATTCTTGCTTTTATTGAATTGAAACAAGCATATAATCTAACATTCCAAAAAAACAATGGCAAGGTTTTAATGGTGCCTAACCCAATTTTCAGGACCATGTTTTGTACCCTAGAACTATCTACTTTTTATACTGTCTCCTTTTGAATACACGTCTGTATTTCCATGCTTATACAACAGTAACAGTATCATGATAGATTGTCATTTACCTCTGAAATCTACCCCTTCTCATTCCCACCCAAATCACCAACTTTTGGTTAAAATAATAATTCACATATTATTACTATATAAATATTGTTCTCTGATAGGTGCTAGTCTGGTAGTGACTTATAATGTTGAATTCATAATCCATGGTTCATGGCCTGCAGTTTATAGAGTATGATGAAATGCTATTTAATCCTATTATTATGTAAGCTCCTAAACTATATTTCCTGTTCCTAACAGCTGCTTCTTGGTTAATCTAATTGGGTATTGATTTTGCCTCTAGAACTATTCAAAGTTGGGTTGTGTGTGTGTGTGTGTGTGTATGTGTGTGTGGTTGTTATTTTAGGTGGCTTATTTATTTATTTATTTATTTATAATGTGCAAGTTATTCTCTTTGTCACTTTTGGCTTTCAAGTGTTATAATAGAAAATTTTGTATCCATCATCTAAAATATACTTTTATTATTTATTTTGTTTATCTTAAACTAGAGAGTACCTAATGGTGTCAGTGGCTTAGTACTTATAAGTGTTGTGTTACCTTTTAGGTGCTGACAGCGAAGGAGAAAAAGACTCAGTTGGATGATAGGACAAAAATCACTGAACTTTTTGCTGTGGCCCTTCCCCAGTTATTAGCTAAAGTAAGTTTATGTGAATATCAGAATGTTACTAAGAAATAACAGATCTTGTTTGGAAATGTCACACAGAATTTTATTGTAATATTTACCATTATTGTGACGTTTTTAATTTTTTTCTTTAAATTTCAAAGTACTCTGTAGATGCAGAAAAGGTGACTAACTTGTTGCAGTTGCCTCAATACTTTGACTTGGAAATATATACCACTGGACGATTAGAAAAGGTATGCTGTTTTCTGTGTATTAAAACACCTTGGAAAGGTATTAGTTTAGTTAATCCCATCACATTGTTTTAAACTATTTTTAAAAATATATTTATAACTTCTAATATGTAAGGAAACATAGCTTACATGTCTTCAGTATTTTATTAAATTGGATTTAAAGAATGGCACTAATGAAGCTTCCCCTTGATTCATATGCACAGTCATACTCTCATTCCTAGCCATTATGTGATTATCAATGATTATTTACAGAGATTGAGGGTGGGTAACAGGACAATAACAATTACAAAAAGAAAGTAGCTAATATCCATTGAAATTTTTATTTTCCAGGAACTATTGTAAGTTATTTATGTGTTAAAATTCTCATCAGAGCCCTATGGAATGGTGATATTATTCTTGTTAATGTTAAGGAAATAGGTATGGGTGGATCAGTGCTTATTTACCATGATTAGAAAAACACCACAAAATGTATGTCCTTAAATAAAGTAGTTACTTTATTTTAAGCTTTTTATCATCGTGGTGTACTTGCTTTGTGCCTACCATGTATACATTCGTTTTAATGGAAAAAACAAACAAAACTTTGATTTTTGCAGCATTTGGATGCCTTATTACGACAGATCCGGAATATTGTAGAGAAGCACACAGATACAGATGTTTTGGAAGCATGTTCTAAAACTTACCATGCTCTCTGTAACGAAGAGTTTACAATCTTCAACAGAGTAGATATTTCAAGAAGTCAACTGATAGACGAATTGGCGGATAAATTTAATCGGCTCCTTGAAGATTTTCTGCAAGAGGTATATATTTTGTCATTTGGGCCTCCTCCCCTTCAGTAACTGAATTATTCACCTGTCCTGGCGATAGTGCCTAGCTGTATGTTGAAAAGATGTTCATACTTTTTGTTCTATGATTCATCATGCTACTATTACTCCTCCACCAACATAGGAAGGTGGTAAAAATCTGTGACTTGGGGGAAGGTGAACGCAAAACTAACATCTTTTTTTTAAAAATTATTTTATTTTAAATAAATGATCTGGGAAGTTGCCAGGGTTTAGTTGATTATGAGACTATTATGGAGCAGGGTGTTAATGAAACAGAAAAGTAGAGCTAGCCTCTGTACATGCAGTCTCAAAAGTAGGGTATTTTTAGTGTATAGTCTTTGATATCATAAAACTTTGAGGAACTGCTTTTATAACCACTGTCGAATTTTGAGTTTTGGATGTTTTATCTATTGTACTTATAAAGAGGCTTAAAGCATGCCACTCAACCACCCTTGTATTTTTATTGTGATTTTTATCATCTCTGGAAATATATTTAACAGTCTAATGGATTTGCATAAAGTAAAAATTCATACTTCTCAAATTAATGTATTTAAGCCTTTTCAACATCACTTTTATCATTAATGCTACAAAAATCATGGGGACTTTGTAGTTTTCAGGTTTCATGTTTTAGAATTCTTTAACGTTCTTTTGTTTATGTGTAATGTTGCATGCTTACTAATTTTTGCTTAATTGGCAGTTTGTTCAAATATTTTGGTGTACAATGATCACATTAGTTAAAAATTTTAATGGCTGTATTCTTCCCTGGGTATGATTGTTATTAGGACAAGATAATTTAAAATCAACCAGTATTTTGTTAGTTAAGTTTAATTACTTTGTAGAAAAATTAAAGTTTAAAGACAACTAAGTGTTTTTTGAGAGACCCAGGGTTTGATACAGTAAGTTGGGTAGTATTTAACAAACTTTATAAGTTTTATGTATTAAGACTCATACAATTTTCAAAAACTTATGTCACTCTAATTTGTAAAGTTGATATCCAGAAAGGACTAGCATGCCTAGTCCTTACTCAGAGCTTTTTTTTCCAAATTAATTGTGATTGGTCTGATAATCTTTCTTGAATGCTCTATTTCTTTTGTGTTGGTTTTGTCCTTTAGTTGTTAACTTTATGATCTTTTGCTTGTCTTCTAATATACTTTTCTTTATTGTCCTAATGTATTTGTTACTGTGAAAGAGCAGATGTCTTCATAGTTTTGTGTCTAGGTTACATGAAGGAAAAAGTGAGAATGTCACTCACTTTTTCTCTCTTGGGTATAATGTACTTGTGATAACTACTGTGTTACCTCATGCCAGCCATATTGCTTTAAATTTAGCCAGATTTAGGTATTGACTGGCACATTTAATATGTGGTTTTTATTAGTGTATTTTTTTTTTCAAGGTAGTGTCGCCAATGTGATAGCTTGAAGTGTTTTACTTTGGTGGTTATTAATGTTTAATATTGTGTAATTAATATTTATAGGGTGAAGAACCTGATGAAGATGATGCATACCAGGTATTGTCAACATTGAAGAGAATCACTGCTTTTCATAAGTAAGTTGAATCTTAAAGTTTCTGATTTCTTAAAACTAGCAAACCACCTTGCATATTTTGAGGTTATAAAGCTATCAAATTCATTGCTAAATTTCTTATACTTTCTGGGGGAAAAGTACTTGAATTGGATAATCACTGGAAAATTATGAACTAACTACTTGTAAAAAAAATACACATTTATGCTGTTGTGGTGCATCTTAAAAAAAGTTTGATATATTTTAACATTTTGTTAACACTCAAGTCCAAAACAAATGTGATTAAGCTTAAATTTTTAATATAACTTAATTCTTTTTTACAGTGCCCATGACCTTTCAAAGTGGGATTTGTTTGCTTGTAATTACAAACTGTTGAAAACCGGAATTGAAAATGGAGACATGCCTGAGCAGGTTGTTATTATTTACAAGTTTTATACTTAACTTGGAGAATGAAGAATTGTAACTTTAATTTTAACTTTATTTTCTTGGTTCTTTTTACAGATCGTTATTCATGCACTGCAGTGTACTCACTATGTAATCCTTTGGCAGCTTGCAAAGATAACTGAAAGCAGCTCTACAAAGGTTGGTGGCAGTTCATTGGATTTTTTATTAATGTAATTAACATTTTTCAGCAAGCTTATGCATTTAATAGGACCAATTTACTTTGGTAAAGTCTTGCTTACTTCTGATCTACTGTTTAGGCAAGTATTCTTTAAAAAATAATCTTATTTGTAGTTTGATGTCTATTGATTGAAAACTTGTTTTGCTTTAGAGTATGATTTATAATTAAATATTGTTCAGATTTGAAAGTGGCCCAACTTACGGGTTCCCATATTACCCTCAAAAGTATTGAGTACTCTTTTGAGAAACAAAATTTTTGTAAATGATGACCAAGAATCTTTGAAACAAGCAGATGCAGCTGTTAGATTACATAAATGGATGATAAGCCAGTTGCTTTGGTATTGTTTTAGGATCATCTCAGAATCTCTCTGTTCCAAATTGATAAATCACTTTCTGGTTCTATGTCTTGTAGAACTTTCAAAAATTTTATCCGTAATGATAATACTGTTTCCATTTGTAAATTGATTGCATGAAACATTATACAGCCCTAGCTGGTTTGGCTCAGTCGGCCTAAGGATTGAAGGGTCCTGGGTTTTATTCCAATAAAGGGCATATGCCTATGTTGTGGGCACAATCCCCATTAGGGGGAGTGCAGGAATCAGCCAATCAGTTGATTCTCACTCATCATTGATATATTCTATCTCTCTCTCCCTCTCCCTTTCTCTCTGAAATCAATTAAAAGAATTTTTTTAAAAGAAAATCATTGTACTTATTCATAGCAGAAGATGTTGCCTTAAATATTATTTGGGCACATTTTTATAAATATTAAGTAGTTTCTGAGTTACAGAATTAGTTGTTTATAGATATTTTCCTCATAAAGGAATTCTCTCTTAAAAAACAAAAGATCTAATTGGCTTTATTGAACAATAAATGAATTGGGTAGTATTCCATCTAGTAAATAAAATGGTGCTCCCAGGAATTCTCTTGATAATCAGTTTGTTTTGCATAGAAACCACAGATAATTTTAAATGCTTAGAATTTTCCTGATCTCTTTTAAGCACAAGATGCTGTTATATCAGCAAATGGACATTTCCCCCTTGAAAAAGTAATGCAATTTTGTTGTTAAAATAGAGTATTTTTTGTCAAAACACCCAAGAATTACCAAGCTTAAAGTAGAAACAGTGATCATATTAATAAATATGATTATTCACTTATGTTGAAAGTAATGAGTACTTTTAGTAGCGGAAAAGGGGTAAAATGAATGTTACTGAATATAAAATTATGCTGAAGGTTAATTGCGTTTTCTTCACCAAATCAATGTTCCAGTCAAGCTGGTTTTTATTTTTATTTTTTTTATTATTATTTTTTTTAAATATTTTTATTGATTTTTTACAGAGAGGATGGGAGAGAGATAGAGAGCTAGAAACGTCGATGAGAGAGAAACACCAACCAGCTGCCTCCTGCACAACCCCTGCCGGGGATGTGCCCGCAACCAACGCACATGCCCCTGACCGGAATTGAACCTGGGACCTTTCAGTCCGCAGACCTACGCTCTACCACTGAGCCAAACCGGTTTCGGCCAAGCTGGTTTTTATTAAACTTGTCTACTACATGTACCAAATATGTACTGATAGTCTGTCATTCAGTATCAGTCTGTCATTCAGTATCATTCAGTATCAGAAGATACGTAAAAGGTTATGCCTTAAATAAATTTGTCAAAGCCGGTTTGGCTCAGTGGTAGAGCATTGGTCTGCGGACCTAAAGGTCCCAGGCTCGATTCCGATCAGGGGCATGGGGCATGTACCTTGGTTGCGGGCACATCCCCGCAGGAGGTGGCTGATCGATGTTTCTGGCTCTATCTCTCTCCCTTCCTCTCTGTAAAAAATCAATAAAAATATATTTAAAAAAAACATTAGTGTGGGTCTTTTTCTTTTTTTAATTTCCTGACTATAATTTTCTATATATATTGATTTCAGAGAGGAAGGAAGAGGGGGAGAGATGGAAACATCAATGATGAGATAGAATCATTGATTGGCTGCCTCTTGCAAGCCCCCCACTGGGGATCGAGCCCGCACCCCGGGCATGGAGTATAAATCCTTACTCTCTAAGTATTCTGAGTAATGGATTTATTAAAGATAGCCATTTATAGAGTTAGATAAGTTTTCTCATTCTGAAGGACCCAGTCCACTTAGAATATTATCTATTAATATACCTGATATTTTGAAGGCTGCAATTTTGAAGAAAATTGATCTCACATCTTTTTGTTCTCCTTTCTGTTAAGTAATAAAGAAAACTTTAAATCTAATGTATAAGCAGAGTTAATATAGTTAAATATCTGATAATGTTTAAGTAATTTAAAATATCTTAAATATTGGATTTTTTGCATACTATTTTTAATGTGCAATTTTTTCAAGGAGGACTTGCTGCGTTTAAAGAAACAGATGAGAGTTTTCTGTCAAATATGTCAGCATTATCTGACCAACGTGAATACTACTGTTAAGGAACAGGTTAGTAATTACCATATATAGCAACCTTTTAAAAGCAATGTTAATAAATATTTGAACTGAAATAGAAAATGTAATATACTGATATTGAGTAAAGGAGAAATAACATATCCATCTATGTATACCATGCTCAAAAATTAGATTAATGTATTTTTTTCATATTAAGTTTTATAAATTGCGTTATAGAGTAACCTCATTGTACTTATTCTATGTTACTGTTTTATTTATGGTACTCTTGGTAAACAGACTCAAATGTAAATTAAATATATGAAATTACAAATGTTATTCCTGAATGTAACAAGTATAACAAGTGTTTCTCAGGGAGGAAGCGTCTTTACGTTTTTATCATCTCTGAGAATATTATCAGATATTGACATTCCTGCCTATCCTGATTGTGTGAGTTATTTTTTCTTATGTGAACTTTGTCTTCACTCTTATACCCTTGTGATTCCAATATTGCTAACTTTCTCATTCTGGAAATGTATTGTTACCTGGTATCATAGGTTGTTTTCCAATCTTTAATATAAATTCTGATCCTTGGACCAAGAACCTATTTAGCTCCAATTCCCTAACAGAGGATTAATCTTTTTTTTTTTTTTTGACAAATGCTTTTGTGGGATAGATGAATTTATAATCTTTTAACAAGAAATATTAATAATAGTCAAAATGTTTATGGTGATTTCAAGGTTTTATGACCATTTCATTTTGCTTAGCCTGTTTTTATTGGGGTAGAGCCCCTTTAGTCATTATAAGTGCTGTTTTCAGCAGCTCATGTTATGTTCGGTACTGTTTGTTCTAATTTAAGATATATTTACTTCTTAAAGCTACCAAGAAAGTTGTTGAACTATAATTGTTCAATTATGAAGCTACCAAGTTGTCCGACCCTTTTCTTTTGTCACTTGTCTTTGTTTCATTAAAAAAAAGCCCAAAACGAATATTGAGCTAATATTAAAGAAATACACTTGGATTGTTACAGCTAAAATGTTAGGTATAATACCTAACTGTTGGTCTCAGTTTTCTAATTTTCAACTCCCTTTTTGAAGGGAGTTGAAAATTGCATACATATATGTTTGGGTACAAATTAGTTAGAATATATTAAATGGCCAATACCCAATTACTGGTTTTTGTGCATTTTTGCAAAAAGTATATTGCCAGAATTATTATATTGCTGAATTCTTTCCAGTTTTTAGCATATCATTTTCTACTATAGCAGTAAAGGATTTGGAAATTCAGTTTTCATCTCTCTAATTCAGATGAAAGAAATGAAATTTTTGAAGGTGGTAAATTAAGTGTAGATTTTATACTTACAAGAATAGCATTTTAATGAAATATGCACTGATCTAAACTTAACACACAAAATATGCCATCAAGATATTCAATTTATTCCCTGGTTTTTTATTTGTTTTTACAATGTTAACATATAATTTCTTATGTAATTTGTTCAGGTTTTGGAGATGGTTTGGTCATTAAATAGCTTATGTTCATTCTTCTTAACAAGCTTCTAGAACTATATCCTGGTCAGCTCACTTAACCTGCCAGTTCGCCTAATAAATGAAACCATACTTACCACTTTGAATTGTTTCTATGTATGTATGTTGCAAAAGTTTGTGTAAATTCATTTCCAGGTAGCTATAAATTACTTCTCTAGTAGTAAAATGAGAAGTGACTAAAAGAAGTATTAAATTCATAAAGAGAAAAAAGTAAATGTGGTTAGCTCCAGAAAGGTAAAACTATGCTGTAATTTGTATTTCTAGCAGTAGTATTCCTTTAAATGTAATTTCCTATTGATACTGTGACCCCTGAATCCTATTTTCATTGGCCCTTCCCAACTGGTAACTTTTTTATCTTCTGACTTATTTTACCAGTGTTTGACTTCATTTAAAACTCCTGGTAGAGTTTTGTTAAGCTCCTAGAGATGCAACTTTAGCCTTAAGTTTATTATGATACCTATCTAGTTTTCCTGATTTATAGTAAGCAGCCCACACTTGGTTATGTTTGTGCTACTTAAGCACACATATATTGGCACTGAAAGTACTTAAAAAAATACCATAGACTTTGTGATCCCCCTTTTAAGAGGTCTTCTATGAGATATTCATCTCTCTGATATAATGTGTTTTTTTTTCTGCCCTTGAAGAAAAAAATGGTACCAAGTTCATGTATTATTTAATATTTGAGAATGTATACCACAAGATTGTAGGATTTGGAGTCAGAAAACCTGAGGTTGAGTCCTGGCTGCATGTTTTGGTAATGTTAGCATATTACACAAGTTATTTAAAATTGCTAAAAATAAATAGCTTTGGCCGGTATCTCTCTGGTTAGAGTTGTGTGTCCTCACACCAAAGGGTCTTGGGTTCAATTCCTGGTCAAGGGCATGTCCCCAGGTTGCAGGTTCAATCCAGTCTGGGAGCCTGGAGGAAGTAACCAATTGATGTGTCTCTTTCACATCAAGATGTTTTCCTCCCTCCCCCCTCTAAAAATCAATGAAAAAAATATTCACAGGTGAGGATTAGCAACAAAGGTGCTAAAAATAAAAGAGTATTTGTGAAATTACCTTGCTGTTTGTAAACATGATGTAAATATTAGTAGTCATTATCATAGAAATCGTACTCTTAATATTTCCAGATATAGAAAGTTAGATTCTGTTTTTTGTTAAATGTGTAGCAGATGGTGAGAAATCTTGATTTATAGCATACTGTCCTTTTTTTTTTTTTTTTTTTTAAATAGGCCTTCACTATTCTATGTGATATTTTGATGATCTTCAGCCATCAGATTATGACAGGAGGGCGTGACATGTTAGAGCCATTAGTTTACACCCCTGATTCATCATTGCAGTCTGAGTTGCTCAGCTTTATTCTGGATCATGTCTTCATTGAACAGGATGATGATAATAACAGTGCAGGTAATCTTATTGCTAACATTTTGTTAAATCTGTATATCTACCGTAAATCAAATTTTAAGTAATGACCTAAAGTTTATACGACTATTTGATAATTTATGCCTAAAACATGAAACACACATGTCCCGGAACATGTGTATGTGTTCATTTCTTGCAACACTGTAAAGACAATGTGGTATCACAGATCATAGGTTTTGGAGCAGATCTTTACTTCTCACTAGCCTTGACCCTGCTTTTCTAATTTATAGCAACCTTTACAGAATTGTGTGAATTTACTAAATGGATCAAAGTGACTAGTACAGTGCCCTGGCATACAGGTATTCAATGAAATTTATGCCTTCATTCTTTAACCATTAGTAATACCAATATTCAGGTAATTTAAGCAGAATAAAGTCTTTAAGTGATGTTTTGTTGTGTATTTTCATAAAGTAGGTTTTTATATTTTAGTGAGGGCATTAAACTATATAATTTCTCAATGTTAGAAATGATTGAAACTATTCGGTAAGTCTGGGGTGGTATAGAATGTTCACAGGAAAATATTAACACCAGTCTTGCCTAGGGTTAAGTAATTCTTCACACCCTAATTGCATACACGTGCCTTAAAGCAAGAAAAGGTCATGCAAAAACAAATACTTTTTGGTGGCTTCTTTATGTTTTGTTTTTTTTAATTAAATGCTTAATGATACTTCACTTTTTTTTTTTTTTTTTTACCTGAAATGCCTTTTGGTGTCCTTTATCCATTTTTCGTGTGTGTGTGTGTGTGTGTGTGTGTGTGTGTGTGTGATATGTAATTTATTTATTCATTTAGTTATTATTTTTTAATTAATCTTTATTATTACAGTTGTTCCTCTTTTTTCCACCCGTAGCTCCCCTCCACTCAGTTTCCACCCCACTCCCTGCCCTTACTCCCCCAACCACTTTCCTCATCCATAGGTATATGATTTTTGTTCAGTCTCTTTCCACACCCCCAAACCACCTCCCCACCTAGAATTGTTAGTACACTCCCTTTCTATGCCTCTGATTCTATTCTGTTCACCAGTTTATTCTGTTCATCATTTTTTATTTGCTTGATTTTTAGATTCACTTGTTATAGGTAAGTATCTGTTACAGTCACTTTGTTGTTCATAATTTTTGGCTTTAACTTTTTCTTCTTCCTCTTCTTTTTTTAAAAAAAATATATTTTATTGATTTTTTACAGAGAGGAAGGGAGAGGGATAGAGAGAGTTAGAAACATCGATGAGAGAGAGTCATCAATCAGCTGCCTCTTGCACACCCCTTACTGGGGATATGCCTGCAACCAAGGTACATGCCCCTGACCGGAACGAACCCGGGTCCTTTATTCCCCAAGCCGATGCTCTGTCCATTGAGCCAAACCGGTTTCGGCTTCTTCTTCCTCTTCTTCAAGAATACCCTTCAGCATTTCATATAATATTGGTTTGGCAGTGATGAACTCCTTTAGCTTTTACTTATGTGTGAAGCTCTTTATGTGACCTTCAATTCTGAATGATAGCTTTGCTGGGTAGAGTACTCTTGGTTGTAGGTTTTAGCTATTCATGACTTTGAATATTTCTTGCCACTCTCATCTGGACTTTTGAGAAATTATCTGACAATTGTATGGGTGCTTTTTTGTAGGTAATTAACTGTTTTTCTCTTGCTGCTTTTAATATTCTCTCTTTGTCTTTTGCTCTTGGCATTTTAATTATGATGTGTCTTGGTGTGGTCCTCTTTGGGTTCCTTTTGTGTGGGGTTCTATGCACTTCCTGGACTTGTAAGTCTATTTCTTTCACCATGTGGGGGAAGTTTTCAGTCATTATTTCTTCAAATAGGTTTTCAGTGTCTTGCTCTCTCTCTTCTTCTGGAACCTCCATAATTCTGATGTTGGTACACATGAAGTTGTCCCAGAGGCTTCTTACACTATCTTCAAATTATTGGATTTTTTTTTTCTTTTCTGGTTGGGTGTTTTTGCTTCTTTGTATTTCAAATCTTTGACTTGATTATTGCATTCCTCTAGTCTGCTGTTGGGTCTCTGTATAATATTTTTTATTTCAGTCAATGTATGTCTAATTTCTAGTTGGTCCTTTCTCATATCCTCAAGGGTCTAGCTAAATTTATCGGCCTTTCCCTGACTGGTTTGGCTCAGTGGATAGAGGGTCAGCCTGCGGACTTAAGGGTCACAGGTTTGATTCCGATCAAGGACATATACCTTGGTTGCACATCCCCAGTGGGGGGTGTGCATGAAGCAGCTGATCGATGTTTCTCTCTCATCAATGTTTCTAACTCTGTCCCTCTCACTTTCTTTCTGTGAAAAATCAATAAAATCTATTTAATAAATAAATAAATAAATAAATTTACCGGTCTTTTCTAGGAAATTCTTGAAAACCTTAGAACTGCGGTTTTGAACTCTATATCCAGTCATTTGTTTTCTTCCATTTCTTTCGTTTGTGATCTGTTTCTTGGTACTTGCATTTTCACTGCTTTCCTGAGTTGGTAGGGTAGCTTTATGTGCTAGGTGTCCTATATGGCCTAGTGGATTGGCCTCCCGAGTTTCCTGAGGTGGATACTCTCGGTGTACCGTTTTGTGGACCGTGTGTACAGCATTGTTGTAGTTAAGTCTTGATTGTTGTTTATATCACTAGGAGGAATTGACCTCTAGGCCAGTTGGCTGTGAGAATCAGCTGTGTCTACACCGGGAGAACTTCTGTGCTAGAGACAGCCTTATAAGACAAGACTTGAAAAATTGCAAAAGCCTCTGTGCTCTGCTTGGATGGGGTGGAGCCTTAGGGCTGAGCAGACAGTCTTGGCTTCCCATCAGCCCTGCCCTATGAGGCCCCTGGGTCTCGTGTCCCTCAATAATCTCTGCAAGCACCTCTGAAAGAAAGCCACTCTCAAGTTTTGCCCACTGCCAGATAGTCCAGTTTCTTCCCCAGTGAATCTGGATTCCCAGATTCTTGCCCAGAACTGAGTTCAGCGCAGTCGGGAGCTTTAGGTTCCCTCCAGCTAGAGAAGGCCAGCGGCACACTCAGTAGTTATTTCTCTCTGGGCTTACCTGTGTGCGTGCCACTAGACCTCTGCCTTTCACAGCTTCCCTGAGTTTCTGCCTGACTGTCCAGATTTCCCCCGTAAAAACCTTGGTCTCCAGTGGCTCACCTTGAACTGGCTTTCAGTGAAGTTGGGAGCTTCCAACTCCCTCCTGCTAGGGAAAGCCAGTGGCAACCTCAGCAGTCAGTCCTCTCTGCCTGCACCCGTGCGCGCCTCCAGACCCCTGCCCTCCATGGCTCCCAAAAGTTTCCATGTGCCTTTATCTCTACCTGACAGTCCAGACTCCCCCCCCCCTATGATCCTGGGTCCACAGGGTCTTCCTCAGAACTGGAGGTCTTTGCTTTTCTATTCAATACATTCTTTTTAAAAAGTAAACTATGTTTTAGCTTCTAAGCAAATACTTTGTTTTATAATATGCACAGTGATAACAAAACTTTTCCTGATAAATTGCTGTTATTAAAGTTTGGTTTTAACTTATTAACAGTTATCAAGGATTATCAGAGACAGGATAAAGTAAATGCTTGTTTAAAAGAACACTTTTATTTTACACACAATTTTTTTTTTTAATATTGTGAATCTTACATTGAAGTCCAAAGAAATGTCGATCAATATAAGGTGGTGTGGTTTTTTTTTTTAAGTAATTTTATTTGTAATATTTATCCAGAGGGAAATTCTTGACATAGCTTTTTATATAAAAGGCTTTATCCCAACTTTATTTTCAGTATCAAAGAATTAGAAACAATCCTTTGGCAGTACATAGAGGCTATAGTCTGTCCCCTTGATAACTGAATGTCAAGATCTCACATAATGGATCAGAGTAGAAATATGTCACATCTTCTTAAAGAGACAGAATGATTCTTAGCTGAGTATATGTAATATGGATAAAATAAGTAGGTGTAAATAAGAGTTGAGATAGGCTCATTCTTGGGAGAGATTATTGAATTTTTGAGATTGGCAGACCCCAGGAACAAAGGGACTTTAACCAACAGACATTGAATATGTAGATCCCATTGACAAACTATCCTATTAGGGAATTAGATGAATGTATTAGGCAAGCTTAGCCTATCTTCACTAAGCATCAATTCCTCTGACTTACTCCACTTGTTTCTCTTCCATGTTCATCAAGCAGCCTTCTGACTATTGACTTAACAAAAATTTTACTTATTGGAATGAATGGGTCTGTCATTCATTAAGATATTGAGAGTGATCATAATCTTTATTTTATTTAAATGTTTTTTTCTTATCTTTTTAAATTCTCCAAAATAAAGGTATTTTATAGTGAGAATTAAGAAAATATGTGGTTAAAATATAGGTGGTTTAATGTTTGGAACTTTTTCCTCAGATGGTCAGCAGGAGGATGAAGCCAGTAAAATTGAAGCTTTGCACAAGAGGAGAAATTTACTCGCAGCATTTTGTAAGCTAATTGTATATACTGTTGTGGAGATGAATACAGCTGCAGATATCTTCAAGCAGTATATGAAGGTAAAGTTTGAAATATGGATAGTAAGATATTTTTAAAATGCTTAAAAGATAATGTAACATTGGCTTTTATACTTGGTAGTTATTGAATTTTTTAATAGTAAATTATTTTTCTAGTTTAAAAGAAATCTCTACTCGTACTCCATTATAGTGAACAATTTAAATTTATTAAGTTCACTAGAGGCCCAGTGCACAAATTCACACACGGGGGGCTGATTGGGGGCATCTTTGGATAGGGGGAGGGGCCACATGCAGTTGGTGGGCTGGTCCTGCCCCCTGGTTGAACTGTTGGTCACAGTCCTGGTCAAAGGGACAATTTGCATATTAACTTTTTATTATATAGGATAGGATTTGCGTTTGGGATATTAGAAACAGCTTGTCTTTTGTTAAACTGTCACTATTAGAAATTGTATTTGTGATTTAGTTTAAGACAACAGGATGGTATCCTCCCTTGCTTGATGTGGCATTAAAACTATTGTTTTTAGACGTGAGGAGACCTAGATGGTATAGTTTTGGCTTGGTGATTATGCAGCTTGTGGCCTTGAGTAACAATACTTTTTGTGTCCTGCCTTTCTTCATCTGTTCCACTGGGATAGTTAAGATTCCTTTTGGGCCTCAAAATCTGATTTCATTTAGAGTAGGTTATTCACAATTTTCATAAACACACATGAAATTCTCTTAATATTTAAGTAGTAGTAGAAAGAATATGGTTAATTATACTAACGGTATATGAGTAAATATGATAAGACTGCTTTTCTTTAATCCTTTCTCAAGTAAAATCTAACTATGAATATAAACTTTGTTAAGCCTCTGGGCTCTTTCACAGTCTGGGAGCTCTCAGAGGATGTCCAACTGATGGCTTAGTGCTGCTGGAGAGGCTGGAGAGGCTTCAGCCACTGACACCAGGGGGCAGCTCCTGGGTTGAACATCTTTCTCTTGGTGTCAGTGCGTGCCATAGCAACTTGTTATTCTAATTTGCATATTAGTCTTTTATGTCAAAACTTAGTAATTCTCTTTGGAATACTTTTCTACAGGATGGAGCTCTAGCACCATTATAACTTAGTTGGGAACCTAAGTTATTTGTCATGATAATTGAATTTTTTTTTAACTAAGGTTGATTATGAAAATTTTGCACAGTTTATTAAACTTTTAGACTTACATATTCTAGGTTAAAGTTAGTTGTGTTAGTCATGGGAGCATAGTTATCCTGTTATATCTGATAATTATCCTGTGTGCATTTTGAAACAATCTTAATTAAATTAGGACAAAATTTCATGTGCATCATGTAAATATCACCTACAATAATGTTTCTTTTAAATGCTAACTACCTAATAGTTTGTATAAGCCAAATTAATAAAGTTGGAAACTATACATAGACTGCATGCCATTAATAAAAGTAACTGATTCTATTACTTGTCTTAATAGTTCATAAAGAATAAAAGAACTTGGTTTATATCCTTTGTCTTTCTGAAAATCTGTATAATATAATTATTGTTTTATACCATCCCTGTTAAACCAAGTTTAGAGCTTAATGTAATTAGATCTTAACTGTCTGATATTCCTAAATGTACTTAAGTTAGGGATTGTGTGTTTAGAAATTATCTGAAAGTTTCAGTAGCATTCTTTTGTGTTTTTGAAGACATAATTTTAGCCAAATACATGCTTACATGATTAACCTAAAATTAGTCCTATTGTCCAACAGTTTTTAAAAGATAAAGCTCTAATTTGTACAAATTTCTTTTCTAGTATTATAATGACTATGGAGATATCATCAAAGAAACAATGAGTAAAACAAGGCAAATAGACAAAATTCAGTGTGCAAAGACCCTTATTCTCAGTTTGCAACAGGTAAGACATTTGAGTACCATCTTTAGGCTAACACAATTAACAATGGTTTTCAAGGTAATTGTGGGTCAAGGATAATAGACAATTCATAAAAGTAGAAATATAAGATATTCAACTTTAGTAGTAGCCATTGTACAAGTGAGATTATTTTTTGCTTTCAGACTGGCAAGTTTGGCAAAACCTATAGCTATCTCAGGTATGGGGGAAATAGGTACTATTAAGCAGTATATATTGGTAGAACCATCCTGGGTAGGCAGTTTGGCAATATATAACAGAATTTATAATGTGCATCCCATTTAAGGCAACAATTCTACTTTGAAACATTTATCCAAGGTAGTAATAGTACAAGTTTGAAAAAATGAGTGTATAATTATTGTACATAGCAATATTGTGTATAACAACCAGGAATTAGAAATAATCCTAATTGCTCATCAGTAGGATGTCAGATGAATGTAGTATACTAGAAGCCTGATGCACGGATTTGTGCACCAGTGGAGTCCCACATCTTGGCCTGCAGGGATTGGGCCAAAACTGGCTCTTAGACATCCCCTGAGGGATCCTGGATTCTGAGAGGTCGGTTCTCAGGCTCTGTCCTCTCTGGTTCTGGGTGCATCACCCAAGAACAGCAGCTGCCAAGTCACTGCAGCTTGACAGCTCCTGCATTTAGCATCTGCCCCCTGGTGGTTAATTTTGGAACTTAGTAGTTACCAGTCAGACAGTTGAAAGATCAGACAGTCACTTAGGCTTTTATATATATATAAATAGGACATCTCTGCAATGACCGTTATATAGCACTTAAAAATTAGTTTTAAGTAGTTCTGTATTTATTAATGTATAAAGATTTCCACAATAAATATATATATATTTATATGGTTTGAAAATAAAGTAATATATATATGTTTGAAAATAAAGTAAAAAGGATTACAGTATAGCATCCGTATAAAATAGAACATATCTATGTCTATCTGAAAAAACAGTCACTAAAATGTTAGCTGTGGTTAACTTGTTTTGATAGGTTTTAGGTGAATTTTTACTTTTATTTTTTGTATCTGTCTATATTTTAATAAGTATCCGTTGTGTAATCAAAATTCTATAGTCATTTTTATTTTGCTAGTGGCAAGGCAAGTTTAATTAGGTAAAAATAATTTGCTTAGTATACTTTTGTCTCTAAGAGACCAAATGCATGAGAAGCACAACCCCTTTCAATTTGATAAACTTTGTTTTTCCTTTTTAGAAATCTAGGTATGAAGTTTCTTAATCTTATTTGCATACTCTAGTAAAAACTTCGTTATAAAATAACAGTATCTTGCTCTAGAAACTTAGTTGTTTTTTTTAATGCATTTACGAACTCTTATTTTTACATAATTAAGTCACTGTGCATTCTATTTTGCGGGCCTGAATTTTTCACATTAACAAATTCTGAACCCTTAAATTCTATTAAATACTTGCCTCAGCATTTAAAATGACTGTATAGTATTCCATTTTATAGAAGGATCATAATTTAACCAAGATCTCTTCTTGTTTGATGTTGGGTTTTTATTGGGTCTTTGCCATTATTAATGACATTAAAACAAACACTTTTTTTACTTATGTATATTGTGCACAAATAATGTTTCTTTTGTATAAAGTCTAATCATTAGCATTACTTAGTTAAAGGATATCTAAACTTTCACTAAATTCTGCCAGATTGTTGTTGTATTAACAGGGGTGGGGAAGCTTTTTCCTGCCAAGGGCCATTTGGATATTTATAACATCATTTGCAGGCCATACAAATTTATCAGCTTAAAAATGAGCCTGCTATATTTGGTCAAACATTTAGTTAACTCACTCCTAATGCCCTGGCAGGGCCAAACCAAAGGATTTCTTGGGGCTTCTATGGGCTGGACGTTCCCCACCCATGCTCTTTAGAAAAGAAGGTAATCTCAATTTATGTTCCCAACAAATCAGAGTGCTTGCTGGTAGTAGCCATTATCTGTTTAAAAACTTGGCAGTTTGGTAATTGAAAAATTGCATATTGTTTTGTTTACTTTACGATGAAAATTTTGGTGTGAGATTCATCATTTAAATATAAATAGCAGAGCATAGTTTCCCTATAAGTTTATGGGCTTCCTTTTTCTTTACATTTTTATATACTATCTTAATGTCCAGTGTTTTCCAGCAGAATAGCATTCTTCCATAACCTAAAGAATTTCTAATCCCAATAACTATCTCTAGTGTGAATATGGTAAGTGCTACAGTTTTGGTCATTTGTGTCATGTGTTTTAAAAATCCATGTTTTTAAATAAAACACAATGCCTCATTTATGGATTATCTATTAAAAGTATATTTTAAATAGGATATGTTATTTTAAAAGATGTTAATAACCCTTAGTTATAAAAGAAAAATTTAACATGCTTGCTTTCTTTTCCCCCCAAACAGCTTTTTAATGAAATGACACAAGAAAATGGCTATAATTTTGATAGATCATCCACAACGTTCAGTGGCATAAAAGAACTTGCTCGACGTTTTGCTTTAACTTTTGGACTTGATCAATTGAAAACGAGAGAGGCCATTGCTATGCTACACAAGTAATCTCCAAATATTTTATTTAGCTTTCCTATTTTTTAATCATGAAAATTTTTGAATGTAGTTCTTTTGCTTAAAATAATCATATTCAATTTCTGCTTAATTATTTGTTTACAAATCTGTAGCATATCTCCTTTATTAAGAACTAGTTATAGTGCTGTTTCTATTAATATATGAATTGGGACTAAATGTCCTTTCATAGAGTCTTTGCTCTAATTAAAATCATACATAAAATCTTTATAAATTAAGTGGAGAAAAGTAGCATATATTTTGTTATAATTTCACTTCTAGTTAGAGAAATTTTTGAAATTTGATTCCTTTTTCTCCTTATGGTTCTGTTCTCCATATTAGTGACCTTCTCCCTGTTTTTTAGCCACAACCTTCTTTCTATCTACATATCTTTTTTGTGCTAAAAATATAGAAATCAACTAACTTTATTTGGTCATATAATTTAGTGATCAATTATACTTTTAAGTATCAGTATATTTTAGACCATCTGGATTATATTTTATAGTTACATTTTTGAAACACTATAATGTTGAATTGTTGTCTTGATTAATAGAGGTATTTTTAAATAAGTATAGTTAAAATAGGCCCTGCATAGAGTTTAATTTTTAAACTTTACTCTCATATGGGTTGTCACAAACAGTATTGATTGTTAGTTAATCCTCACCCAATGATATGTTTTCCATTGATTTTTCGAGAGAGTGAAAGGAGGGAGGGAGGTGGGAAGGAGGGAGGGAGGGAGGGAGGGAGGAAGAGAGAGAGAGAGAGAGAGAGAGAGAGAGAGAGAGAGAGAGAGAGAGAGAGAGAGAGATATCAAATAGTTGCCTCCCCACACATGCCTCAAATCTGCAACTCAGGAATCCGTGATCTTTTGGTACATGGGTTGAAGCTCTAACCAGTGAGCACACCAGGAAGGGCTACAAATAGTCTTTAAGCTAGTCTTGTCCTGGCCGGGTGGCTCAGTCGATTGGCGCATCATCCTGTGCAACAAAAGGTTTGGAGTTCATGATTCCCAGTCAGGGCACCATTCCTAGATTGTGGACTGGTTGTTTGATTTTGTTTTGTTTTGTTTTTTAATATATTTTTATTGATTTCAGAGAAGAAGGGAGACAGGGAGATAGATAGATAAATGAATGATGAGAGAGAATCATTGATTGGCTGCCTCTTGAATGCCCCCTACTAAGGATCAAGCCTACAACCTCTAGGCATGTACCATTGACCAGAATCAAACCTAGGGCCCTTCAGTCTGCAGGCTGACACTCTTGTCAACTGAGCCAAACCAGCCAGGGCCTAGGTTGTGGTATTGATGCCTGGTTGAGGCACATAAGTGAGGCAACAGATTAATGTCCCCCCCCCCTCCAACTCCCCCTCCCTCTCCCACTTTCCCTTTCTCCCTCTCCCTCTCCCTCTCCCTCTTCCTCTCCCTTTCCCTCTCCCTCTCCCTCCTTACCTCTCCCTCTTCCTCCCTCTCATTACCTCTCCCTCTCCCTCTCCCTCTCCATCCTTACCTCTCCCTCCATACCTCTTCCTCTCCCTCTCCTTCTCCCTCCCCCTCTCCCTCCTTAACTCTCCTTCTCCATCTCCCTCCTTACCTCTCCCTCTCCCTATCCCTCTCCCTATCCCTCTCCCTCCTTACCTCTCCCTCTCCCTCCTTACCTCTCCCTTTCTCTCTCTCCCTCTCCCTCTCCCTCTTCCTCTCTCTTCCCCTCACCTCTCCCTCTCCCTCTCCCTCCCTCTCCTTACTCTTACTCTTACTTCTTACTCTTCCTCTCCCTCTCCCTCTCCCTCTCCCTCTCCTTCTCCTTCTCCCTCCTTACCTTTCCCTCTCCCCTCCTTCGTTTCTCCCTCCCTCCTTTCCTCCTCTCCTCCCTTCCTTTCTCTGTAAAAAATAAAAATAAATAAAAACATATCTTTGGGTGAGGATTTTTAAAAATGTTTAAGTTAGTCCTTGGTCTTAAAAAATATAGAAAATGTATTGATCTTTATATGAGAGCATTTGAATTATTTTCTATGGAAGAGAACTGAAGAAAAAATGTAGATGGACCAAACCACATTCTAGGGCTAATGTGTGCCTGTGTGGTTTTGTTTTCTTTCAAAAAGTTAACAGTACCATAAACTCTAAATTTATTTTTATATTACAGCCTCTATATTCTTCAGATTAAATGTATGGCAAAGAAAACAATTAGTAGTGGAATGAAAGTATAGAGAGAAATTCCCTAAGTTACTAAATTTTGTATTGTGGTTCCTTAAATATTTATCTTTTTTTCTTATAGGGACGGCATAGAATTTGCTTTTAAAGATGCTAATCCACAAGGAGATAGCCATCCACCTTTAAATTTGGCATTTCTTGACATACTGAGTGAATTTTCTTCTAAACTGCTCCGACAAGACAAACGAACAGTGTATGTGTTAGAAATACTCTACTTAATTTTGTTTTGGAATTCTTAATTCTTGGTTTCTCCCTTTTACACAGAGATTGGAATTGTAACCTAACTAAAGAGAGAACATTTAATAGACAGCAATATCAGTGATCCATCAGGAACATTTGAGTCTGTGTCCAAAGTTATGACTACACTGGGAAGTAGAATTCTCCTCTTTATCTTTTTACTTGAACTACTAGTGCTGTCCTCAACAGATCATTTAAGCAGAATACTTTTCTGGTATAGTCTACTATAGTGTCTGGTTGTTCCACTGTAAGGGTTGCTTAGGCTCTTATTATATAGACTAGAGGCCCAGTGCATGAAATTCGTGCATGGGGTGGGGGGGTCCCTCAGCCCAGCCTGCACCCTCTCCAATGTGGGATCCCTCTCACAATCTGCATTGTGGATTGTGCAGTATTGTATTATACAGTTTTATCAATATTTCAATTATACAGTATTATACAATTTTATCATCTGTAATCATTGGATCCTCAGATCTCATTCATCTTTTTTTTTTAATTTCAACTTTATTGAGATATAGTTTACATATAATGTGTAAGTTTAAGGTGTACAACGTGTTGATTCACCACTAACATTAGCTGATCCCCTTGGGTCTAAACAGGCAGTTGAACATTCCTATCACAATCCAGGACTGCTAACTCCCAACTGCTAGCCTGATTGCCCTAACCACTTCTGCCTGCCAGCCTGATTACCCCCTAACCACTCCCTTATCAGTCTGATTGATGCCTAACTGCTCCGTTGCCAGCATGTTTGCCCCTAACTGCCCTCTCCTGCAGGCCTGGTCATCCTTAACTGCCCTCCCCTGCAGGCCTGGTTCATCCCTCCCTCCCCCCTTCGCCCCCAGCTGCTCTACCCCGAAGGCCTGCCCCCCCCCTCCAACTGCCCTCCCCTGCTGGCCATCTTGTGGCAGCCATCTTTGACCACGATGGCAGCTATCTTGTGTGTTGGAGTAATGGTCAGTTTGCATGTTACTCTCTTATTAGATAGGATACAGGCCTGGTGCATGGGTGGGGGCCAGCTGTTTTGCCCTGAAGGGTATCCCATATCAGGATGGGGGTTCCCTTGGGGCATGGGGCAGCCTGGGCAAGGGGCCTGTGGTGGTTTGCAGGCTGGTCATGGTCCCCAGCAACCCAAGCAGAGGCCCTGGGATTTATTTATCTTCTATAATTGAAACTTTGTAGCCTGGAGCAGAGGCCAAGGCAGGCCAGGGCTTCAGAAGCTTGGCTTCTTCCATCGCCTGCAGCAGCCCTAGCCTCCTGCTCTTTTCAGCTTCGTGGCTGCCGCCATTTCTGTTTGGATTTATTTATCCTCTATCAGGCAGAAAGCATGGCTGCTTCCATTACCAGGGAAACCCAAGACTCCCTCCTGCTCTCTGTGGCTGCAGCCATCCTGGTTGGGTTAATTTGCATTCTCGCTCCTGATTGGCTGGTGGGCATGGCTTGTGGGTATAGCGGAGGAACCGCCAATTTGCAAATTACTCTTTTATTAGATAGGATAAGAGGAAATGGTAGCCCTGGCCAGTGTGGCTCAGTTTGTCAGCACATGCATCAAGAAGTCACCAGCTCAATTCCTGGTCAGAGTATATACCCAGGTGCAGTCTTAATCTCTATTGTGGAGGCGTGATTTGCCGGTGTGGGTCCTGTAGGAGGCAGCTGATCAGTGATTCTCTTTCATCAATGTTTTTATCTCTCCCTCTCCCTTTCTGAAGTCAATAAAGCTATATATTTAAAAAAATCAATAATTTTTTTTTTAAAAGGAAGAAATACTGAACAAATGACAACAAGCAGTATGTTTGTAACTGATATCTCCTGTCTTTTCTTTTAATAGTGTTCAAAACTGGTAATTTTGAATTGATTGGAAGTAGTCATTATTATGACAGAAAATACTTGAATTGCACCTTACAGTTTGACAAAAAAAAATTGTGTTCATATATTTGAGGCATAATATATACAATAAAACACTGAACTCTTATTGTCAGAAGCTTGGGATGTGAATTGTAGTTATACTGCTTTTTTATTTTTATGACCATGAATATGTTACTTATCCTTTCTTTCCTCATCTATCAAATTGGGAGAATGTCTTCCTCACAAGATTATAAAAATTAAGTTAAAAGCATCCAAGAGAAAACTGTCTAGCACACAGTCACTCAAATGTTAGTTGAATTTTGATTGTTATCTTACATAAAAGCCTTAGAATCCTTGTGATACTTTGGCTCCCAGGGTAGATAGATGTCTGACTTCCATCAGGCTGAAACTTTTTTGCAGGTAGGGACCCACCATATTGCATTCATCTTTATATCTATCCCTAGTGCTTGGAGCATAATAGATGCTTAACAAATATTTAAAGCTGAAATGCCCTGAATTGTATGCTATAACGTGAAAATCTTGAAAGACAAACTTGCTCATCAGTGTACTGATGAAGATGAGATTGAGTAATAAAGTAATATGTACATGATCTTATAGCTAGGGGTTGATAGAACTGGGACTAGAACGCAAATTTTGTGATTTTTAAACTCAGTTGTCTTTCCAGAAATATTAGTTGAGTTTGTTCTAGCAGAGGACCTATAAAAAGTGAAGATAGAGACATCTTGCCCAAACCAGTTTGGCTCAGTGGATGGAGCGTTGGCCTGCAGATTGAAGGGTCCCGGGTTCGATTCTGGTCAAGGGCATGTACCTTGGTTGCAGGGTACGTCCCCAGTAGGGGGCGTGCAAGAGGCAGCTGATCGATGACTTTCTCTCATCGATGTTTCTAACTCTCTCTATCCCTCTCCCTCTCTGTAAAAAATCAGTAAAATATATTAAAAAAAAGAGAGACATCTTGAGAATTAAAACATTAGCATCTTTTAATTGTCACTCTGTGTTTTGAGGAAATGTGGACTATCAACCATTCTAATCTACTTTGCTTTTTATTTAATTCTAAGTAAATCATTGGATGTTCCACATGGTATGTGAACCTTAAGATTATTAGGAAGAATAACAAAATAGGAAAAAACTCTGTTGTAGTTCTATGTACCAAAGCTAATGATTTCTACTTTTTTTTAAGGTATGTTTACTTGGAAAAGTTTATGACATTTCAGATGTCACTCCGACGAGAAGATGTGTGGCTTCCACTGATGTCTTACCGAAATTCTTTGCTAGCTGGTGGTGATGATGACACCATGTCAGTCATTAGTGGAATCAGCAGTCGGGGGTCAACTGTGCGGAGTAAAAAATCGAAACCATCTACAGGAAAACGGAAAGTAGTTGAAGGCATGCAGCTCACACTTAGTAAGAATATAATTTATTCTCTTTATATTTATCCCTTATGTTTACCAACTGAAGTGTCATTAAGGTTCACCTTAATTTTTTTGAGATTTGTGTTAAGTAGTATCTTGCACTGTGTGTTCATTGTATGTAAATGGACTATTTTAAGCATTTTTAAAATATAAACTAATTTCTCAAACTCTAGGTACATCCTCATTTTTCAGAAGAGAAATCTAGTACAGAGGGGTCAAGTAACTTACCTGAGGTCACACAGATATTAAGTAGTAAAGCCAGGCAGTCTCATTTCTAGAGTGCCTGCTTTTTAAACTATGCTGTACTGTATGTATAGGGATATGGACTCGGTATTGTAGAGCTAATTAGTACCTAGATCGTCACATCCATCTAGTTTAAGTGAAGCAACAGATTTACAGAGTTTGCAGCTTTTGGATTTCTACAAAGAGAAATTCAAGATTAATCACGAAGAACTTGATAGAAATACAAATTGATGTCTATAATCTTAGAGGTAGTAATGCATTATGACACGTAAGTCTCTTGGACTCCTAGCATGTCAGGATTGGTTCAAAATGGGTCTGGGGGCTTTCTTCCTTTCCTTAGGAACCTTTAAACAAATAAGCATAGTTATCCCAATTTGTTCCAGTTATTATTACTGGGTAGCAAACTTCCCCAAAACTTGACAAAGCAGGGACATAGTGCCTGGTACTTCAGTTAGGAAACCTCAAAGACTAAAGTCTGGAATTGTATGGCAGCATTCCACTTATAGATATACTAGAGGCCTGGTGCACAAGATTCGTGCACTGGGGAGGTGGTGTCCCTCAGCCTGGCCTGCACCCCTTCGCAGTCTGGAACCCCTTGGGGATGTCTGCCTGCCTGCCTAGAGATCAGACCTAAGTAGGAAGTTAGATATCCCTCTCGCAGTCCAGGGTGCTTGTAGTCTGGGACCCCTTGCTTCTGCCTGCCACAGAGGTAGGAGAGGCTCCCGTCACCATTGCTGCGCTCACCAGCCATGTGCCTGGCTTCTGGCTGAGCTGTGCTCCCCCTATGGGAGCGCAGTGACCACCAGGGGCAGCTCCTGCATTGAGCACCTGCCCCATGGTGGTCAGTGCGCATCATAGCAGCCAGTCATTCTGCTGTTGGGTTGATTTGCATATTATGTTTTTATTATATCGGAGGATCTGATGCTGACTGTCAGCTGGGACTTAAGCTGGATTGTCTCCCAGAACACCTACATGTGACCTTTTCATGTGGCTTTATGGCTTTCTCATACCATGTGACTGGACTCCAAGAGTAAATGCCTGAAGAGCAAGGAGGTGGAAGCTGCCAATTTCTTAAGACCAGTAACTGGGGTAGCATAATTTCCACCATATTTTATTGATCAGTCACAGAGCTCAGATACAAGGGGTGGGATGTAATCTCCCACCTCTTAATGTGTGGAGTGTCAAAGATTTTAGAGTCATATTTTTAAATTGCAAATAATTTTTAAGTGTTGATCATGTTTATAGTGCCTAAAACTTAATTGTCCTGTGGAAATGGTTTTAATCTTTTGCCTTATATAAAGGCATAAACTTGTAATTTGTACAAGTTAGATTATACTTGGTTATGTAGTCCCAATATCTCAGTCAATGGAGAAATCTGTTTTACAGTAGCCCTGACTGCTTACAATAGTTAGGGCTGATACTTTATAGGAAGTTAAAATAAATTTTCTTTATTTTAATATAGAAAAGTTATCAAATTAAAAGGTGATGTTTCCTGCATATCGCTGACTCTTTAAAAAATTTTCTTATTTGAACAAATAGTTAATAGTTACAAATTTGTGCCGGGTCATCAAATTCCCTTTTCCTTAGACTTTATGGAGCATGTATGAATTGGTATTTATATAGCATCTTAAAGATATATTATCAAGCCGGATACTACAATTTTTATTGAAAGAGTCAGTGCTTTCTTTGTTTAGGTTTTTAGAGAGAGACAGAAATTGAGGCATTAGTAAAGTTGAAGAAGGAAGAATAAATACTGATAGGTTGGCCCTGGCCAGGTGGCTCAGTTGGTTGGAACATTGTCCCATAGACGGAAGAGGTTGCAGGTTTGATTTCCAGTTAGGGCACATACCTATGTTGTGAGTTTGATCCCCTGTTGGGGCATTTATGGGAGGCAACCAATTGATATTTCTTTCTCATATTGATGTTTCTCTCTCTCCTCACCTTTTTTTCTCCAAAATCAATAAACATATTCTTGGGTGAGGATTAAAAAAGGAAAAAAGCCTGGCCTGTGTGGATCAGTGGGTTGATTTTCAGCCTTGAGTGGAGTCCAGGGCCAGCCAGGGTGTGCAGAAAGCTTGACTTCCTTCATTGCCAGGGAAACCCAAGCCTCCTGTTTGCTCCGTGTCTGTAGCCATCTTGGTTGGGTTAATTTGCATACTTGCTCCTGATTGGCTGGTGGGCATGTATTGTGGGTGTAGCGGAGGTACGATCAATTTGCGTGTTACTCTTTTATTAGATAGGATAACAGCATCTACAGACATTTGAAAACTAGTAGGTTTTGCAGGTGTAAAAACCTGGTCTTTTTAGTCTAGTGCTTCATGCATATGGATTTTTGCTTCCCTTGAAGTTGTTCTTAAGTCTACCTTCTATATTGCCATAACATACTTTGATTAAAATATGTAGCTCACCACATCAATTCTTTAAAATCTCCAGCAGTGGTTCCTGTCACCTTAGCACAGCTTATAAAACTTTACATAAATTTATGCCTGCACCTGCCTCTTTATTCACTCAGCAGTACCTTTTGCTGCTTACCCCATGACTAACATAATGTAGTCATATGAAGTTGCCTTTTTTGTAGGTCAAGAACTGCTAAATATCAGCAAATTAGTATGGTTCAGTTGTTTCATGCCTCAGTGCTTTTGCTTATGTTCTTCCCCCTGCCTAGTTCACCCAGTGGCTTAATTAGAAATTATTTGCAGGTAGCTGGGTCTGTTCCCTCTTATTGTTCCCATTCCACCTGTGCTTCCTTCTCTTTCAGCACTTCCCACACTGTGTTGTAATTGCCTGTGTTTTCTTTTTTTCACAATTAGAATGTAAGGATGGGGGGAGGGGCGCTGCACCTTAAGTACCTTTGTATCCCTCTACTCCAAGCACTTAGCATGTAATAAACAAGTGTTTGTTGACCTGAACAGGTTGTGTTAGACATCTAATTGGTCAAAATTAGTGACTGAATTTCATTGCTGTTGATTTTGTCTTTCAGCTGAAGAAAGCAGTAGTAGTGACAGTATGTGGTTAAGCAGAGAGCAAACACTGCATACCCCAGTTATGATGCAGACACCACAACTCACCTCAACAATTATGAGAGAACCCAAAAGATTACGACCTGAGGATAGCTTCATGGGTGTTTATCCAATGCAGACTGAACATCATCAAACGCCTCTTGATTATAAGTAAGTACATTTGATTATTTTCTGTACTACAAGTTTATAATTACATAGAAAAAAAGTTAAGTTAAAAGAGGAATAAAATTCTCCTTGAAGCACGCAGGTAACATGGATGTTAGCTCAAAGACAGCAAGAGGAAGCAAGGCAACAACAGGAGAGAGCAGCAATGAGCTATGTTAAACTACGAACTAATCTTCAGCATGCCATGTAAGTGAGAGTGCCTTATTGTCTGAGTCTAGGAAGTACACTAATTCATTTGAACATATTTTAATGTGTGCCTTGCCTAAAAGTTTCAGCAAACTCTAGAGTAAGCTGAAATAATCAAAGAACTGAAAATTGGTCTTTCCAACAGAAAAAGAAACTTTTAAAATTAAATATTTAGTTAGCTAAAGAACCACTCTTAGTTTGATCTGTTGGAAAAATTTAAATCTGAATCCTTATTTACTTTGGTACACAAAATTATAGCTAAAAGTCTAGTTTTGTTACTTCTTAATTGATTCCCCACCTTAGTTCAGGCCCTCATCTCTCACCTGAACTATTATGTTAGTTTTCTAACTCGTTTTCTTCCCTTAAAATCTATTTATCCTCTCACCAAATTCCCCCTCTCACTCCTTCCACCACCACTCCATCATTCACACCACCATCCAGAATTACTATTCTAAAATAAAAATCTGATCATGTAACTCTTTTACTTAAACCTTTCCATGGCTCTCCACTGCCTTCAGGATAAATTCAAACTCCTTAGCTCATGGCATGCAAGATCTTTCAAAATATGGCCTCTGCCTACATTTTAGTATCATATCCCATTCCCTGGAAATGGGTAAAATCACCATAAAAGAACAAGCTCAGGTATCACCTTACAAGAAGATGCGGTAATCCATGCTCTAATAACATTATATTTATACATTCTTGTAGTACTCACCACATTGTATTATAGTTATTTGTTTATGAATTTTCCCTTTCTGTAGACTGTGAGCTCCTCAAGGGCAGGGACCACTTTATTGCCAGTCAGTGCTTGGCACATAAAAAATGATAAATGTTCATTGAATGAGTCAATGTCCAATGCAAAAAAAATTGTAGTTTAACTTTTATATACTTTGTTTTTACTGGAATCTGTATTGAGTTTTATAAATCTTTATTAGCCTTGGCTTCAAAAGAAATGTCAGTCTTTAAATGATTGGCACAAAGGGAAAAATATGACTGATTATTTACGGTTTTGAGTTTGAAAGTTTTGCATTTGTAACATAATGTAATATATGTTTTAATACTGGGAGATGGTAATTGTTACCTTTTTAAATTTTTGTTTTGTTAATTTTTAAATGATGAGAATTTCACCTGTTTTTCTTAAGAAATTATCATTTACCACATGAGTAATATCTTATTTAAATTCACTTCAGTTATCTGTGGCAATCTTAAGAACCTATAAAAAAGTATACTCCATCACATGTATAAGATTCTGATCTCAACTTGTCTAATATGGTCAACATCTATACAGTTAGTCATTTGGTTATTTATCTTATTCCTTTTTCTATGGCCACATTCCCCTTAATATGTGCTCTTATTTTATGTTGGATTCAACAGCTAATTTTTTAGCTTCCAACCAGTCACCAGTTCAAACATTCTGGAATTCTACCGGCAATCATTTGGTCCACATTTCTCCCCTGAAAACTTTCCATCAATCCCCAAGATGTTCCACAGCATCTCATTACTCAGCACCATTTATCATTATTCTTTTGTTTGTAGTTTGTTTTACTTCCCCTTGGAGATAAACTTCCCTGGTGACTATAAGAGATTATCCCAGTTAAATAATTATCACTGGAAGAATCTTTTGATTGTTGTATCATAGTGGTCAATCACCTGATACTTTAAATATTTTTGTTTTGCAACAATTTTTCTGTAATGATAATCTGCCCTATTAATGAAAATACTTCCAGATTCTCTTTGTATTTTTAAATAGTTTATATTATATAATCTTCCTTACACTCCAAATGAAATACAGAATGGGTTTCTGGTTTTCTATAACATGGTCCACAAAACACACATTTTCACTTTATAGTTGCCTCCACTAAGACTCAACTTAGTATTGTGAAAATTGTAAGCAAGTGTCCACTAAATAATTGATTGGGAGGTAGGGAGGTTAAGATCTTTCAATTAGTGAGAAAAGAAGGAAACATTGGCCATACTGGGGAACAAGAAATTACCCTCAATTTCACTATTTCTTAGACTTATGCTGATCTGGGCTAATTTGTTAACTTGAAATTTGAATTGATTCCTTATAATTATGTAATAACATACATAATTTTGGGTCTTAATTTTTACTTTTCTGTATGTCTTAGAGTTTCCTAGGAAACAATCTAATTTTTATCATAAAGTTGCTCATTTCTTCCTGAAGCAGAATTAATCTCTTCCAGTATATTATTATAGCAATTGATTCATATTTCTCTTGCAATATATGTATCACATTTTGTCATAATTATCTGTTTCACTAGTATATTGTGAGCTCCTTGAGGGCAGGAACCAGGTCTTAATTCATCTTTTTTTTTTTTTTAATTTGCATCCATTGGACAGAGTTGAAGCCTGTCATGTAGTAGGCATTGTATGAATGAGTGAGTGCCTGGTATATTAGGTACTGAGTGAATGAGTGAGTGATGGGTAAAATTAACACTATATATTAATGAAAATATATGTATTCTGAAAATGTTATTTCTCTGGTCTCTGTTTTATATTTGTTTATTAATTTGTACCCTGCCTACTGTCAAAAAGGATTTGAGGTATCTTATCTGTTCCCATGTGGGATATTGTCATTGAACTTTTGTATGGGATATCAGAACTATTAAGCTAACTGTATTGAAGTAATGTAGAATAAACATAACTCCTTAAACATTTTTAGACAAGCGAACATTGGGGTTTTGACATCATTGATGACATGATCAATGCCTAATCATTTTCCCTGACCTCTAATTCCATCATTTTCCATTATGCTTGAATTGAATATATAGAGAGTCACATAGTTGATGCCAACATATTAATAGTTAGAACATTGGTTCAGATCTTGACCTTGTTTTATATTCCTCTAGTCGGCGTGGTGCAAGCCTAATGGAAGATGATGAAGAGCCAATTGTTGAAGATGTTATGATGTCCTCAGAAGGAAGGATTGAAGATCTTAACGAGGGAATGGATTTCGACACCATGGATATAGATTTGGTAAGAAACTTAGTAATTTCTGTAATATTTTTCAAAGTTTATACCCTTTGGAAATTAAGTTGTATATTTATTAGAGAAGAGAAATAACTTGCCATGAGACGTAAGTTTTGCAAAATCTATAATAATAAAGGCATAATATATGCTAATTAGATCGGATGTCCTTCTGGATGAAGCTGGGGCTGGGAGAGAAGCCCAGATCCCAGGTGCCTGTTGGTGGCTAGGGGGAAATCCAGGTCCCAGGAAACCAGTACAGCAGCCAGGGGAAGGAAGGCCTGCTTTTGTACAAATTTCATGCATCGGGCCTCTAGTCTACGTTAATAAAAGAGAAAGAATGTAAATTGACAGTACTTTAAGGATACCAGTCAATCGGGAGTGAGTATGCAAAATAACCCAACAAAGATGGCAGGTTAATTTGCATACATGGGCGCTGAGCAGCTGGGGGTGGGATTCTTGCATCGTCACCATGGCGACGGACACAGGTGTTCTGCACCACCCCAGCCACTCTGGCCCTTTGGGCAGCGTGGGAAGGCGGAAAGACGGCTACAGCCAGAGCAAAGGTGGTGCCGGCAGCCAGGGGAAGGAAAAACCATTCTTGCATGAATTTTTGTGCATCGGACCTCTAATTATTAAATAAAATAATTAAGTCTTTAGGTATATGAGAAGGAATTGAGGAGAGGGTAGGATTGGTGAGGGTATTATATTCTAGTTTAAGATGATTAATTTTCAGGTTAATTTAGGAATATATTGATTTAAAGACATATTCTCTATCATATCACCTTATAATTTTCCATTTATTCACCATCATTAAAACAACATTATAACGAGGTTGGCGTGGTTCAGTGGTTGAGCATTGATCTATGAACCAGGAGATCATGGTTTGATTCCTAGTGGGCGCACATGCCCGGGTTGCGGGCTTGATCCCCAGTATAGGGCATGCAGGAGGCAGCTGATCAATGATTCTCTCTCCCTCTCCCTTCCTATCAGAAATTATATATATATATATATATATATATATATATATATATATATATATATATATATATATATATATATATAAATAACACAACTATAGCCCTAGCCAGTTTGGTTCAGTGGATAGAGCATTGGCCTGGGGAACTAGGGACCCGGGTTCGATTCCGGCCAAGGGCACATACCTGGGTTGCAGGTGCCTCCTGGGCCTGGACCCTGGTTGGGGCTCATGAAGAAAGCAACCAATTTATGTGTTTTTCTTATCGATATTTTTCTGTCTTTCCCACTCTCTAAAAATCAGTGGGAAAATATCCTTGGGCAAGGATTAAACACACACACACACACACATTATTAACTTGCTACTACCAAGTTATTGAGATGAATTTTCATGTTAGATAATAAAATTACTGCTGAGACCGGTTTGGCTCAGTGGATAGAGCGTCAGCCTGCAGACTGAAGAGTCCCGGGTTCGATTCCAGTCAAGGGCATGTACCTTGGTTGTGGGCACATCCCCAGTGGGGGGTGTGCAGAAGGCAGCTGATCGATGTTTCTCTCTCATCGATGTTTCTAGCTTTCTATCCCTCTCCCTCTCTGTAAAAAATCAATAAATATATATTTTAAAAATTACTTAAATTTGGAAGATAAAATATATATAAGGCTATATTCTTTATTAATTATTACATCATATTTATTATTAGGCCTTTGTCATATACAAAATGCTTCTACATCATTTTGCCACATGTCTCATTCAATTTTGTGAGGGAGATTGAAGCTTAGACAATTAGCATATCCAAGGAGACAAAACTAGCAAGCATTAAAGCTGAGATTTATAACCAGGTCTTCTGATTTTACTTCCCAGTATATCACAATGAAATCTTAACAGGAAGGAAAAAAAATTTTTAATACGTTTTCAATGATTTTAGAGAGAGAGAAGAGGAGAAAGATGGATAGAGAGAGAGAAATATCATTGAGAGAGAAACATCATCAGTTGGCTGCTTCCTGCACACCCCCTACTGGGAATCAAACCTACAACCTAAGCATGACCTCCTGGTTCATGGGACAACACTCAACCACTGAGCCACACTGACTGGACAACAGAAAGAAATAATTACATTGTCTCTCGTCAGAGTAGTATAATCTGGTCCCTTTTAAAGGAAAATAGTTCCAGGGGAATTCTTAAAGTAAAACGAAAAAATGTTTTCCAGTTTTCTTTTCTTTAGGATAATTTTCCATTAATGAATTGCTTTTGTTCTCATTTAAACATTTTTTAGTTTGTTTATATAGTATTTAAGTTATTATAAGGTACAATTGCAACTACATGTTTCATGTGAACATTAATGCTAATTAATTTCAATATTTTCTGATAATAAATAAAGCAATTGTCAACTTTCTTCCTTTTTTCCCCTTTAGCCACCATCAAAGAACAGACGAGAGAGAACAGAACTGAAGCCTGATTTCTTTGATCCAGCTTCAATTATGGATGAATCAGTAGGTTTCATTTAAATGTACTGCAGGATTGGAAAATCAAAAGCATAGGCAGCCCAAAGTTTGAGGATGGAGAGCTGAGACAGCACATCAAGAATGGATAAAAACAATTGGAACAGGAGAAAAAGAGGCAGGCAGGATTGGTTTCCAGAGAATGAGAGAAGGGTAATGCAATGGTGGTGACATATTTAAGTGCCTTTGAATCCCTGGCCAAATGGGACTTGCATTAAGGAATTTGGACTTTTTCTTTAGGCTAGAGTTGCCCATTGAAGGATTTTGAATGAGGGAGTGGCATGATCAGAATTTTGTTTCAGAAAGATTTCCTTGGCATTTATGGATGGATATAATGAATGAGGAATAATAATCATTAGTTATCTGAAGGCATAGTCAAAAATAGAACTTAAAGACTGATAATAAAGTGAAGGGGTATTAAGATAATTGATTATTGTTAAGAATTGTCAATCATATTTTTTAAGTACCTCTTATATCAGTCCCCACTATATTTTCCCTGACAGTGCCTTGGCTCATTCAAGTCCTCCTTAGTTTTCACTTGGACCATTGCAATAGTATTTAAATTGATCTTGCTGCTGCACCTTTCTTTTATCTCTCTTTTAGGGTCATCTTTCCAAAATACAGATCAGATTCTTCTCTCACATATAGTCTAGGTCTTTCATTGATTCTCTGCCCCATCCCCCATTATTATATTAATATAATAATGCCCCATCCCCCATTATTAAATTAATATAATAATTAATATATTAAGAAAAATATTTTGACAAAAAGCTTTTTGTGATCTGGCTCCATCTCCAGCTTAACCTTGGCCCTTTCCTTACATGTATTCTGTGCTCCAGTTATACCAAATTTTCTTCCTCTCATACACATTTTGTTCTTTCATGATTGTGACTTTGTATAAGTTTTTCTCTGTCAGAATTGCCTAGCCCACCTTCCTCTTATAGTGAATTTCTTCTTTAATGGTTCTGACATTACTTAAGGAGTTTTGCCGACTTCTCCAGATAGATACTTTTTTCCCCCTCAACTTCTGTAACATTATATACACTTTTATTTTTATAATTACTAGATTGGTATGGTGTAATACTATCTAATGAATATGAAGAGGGAATATGTTAATTGATCCTTACACCATCGCAAAGATGGTGGCATCCACAGCCAATAAGGAGGGATATGCTAATTGACTGCCATGCCCTCAAAAGATGCTGATGCCCAGTCCCCTCAGCCCCACCAGGGTGGCAGGCATGTGGCAGGGCTGGTCTGGCCTCTAGGTGGGCTCTGCGTACCTGCCTCTGGAGTCCCTTAGTACCCTTGGCCCTCCAGCCACTCAGGGCCAGCCTGAGGCATAGGCAAGCCTTAGATGGTAGCTGTCCAGCTACCCAGGGCCACCTGAGGCTCGGGTAACCAGGGCTTGCTGAGGCTTGTGCTGCCGGCAGTGGCAGCAGCAGAGGTGACGGGGGCATAGCCTTCCCCTGATTGCTGGGTCACCTCCTGCCCCTGAGGGCTCTCAGACTGTAAAAGGACTGTGGGGATCCCTCCCCCCTCAAGTGCATGAATTTCCATGTCTGAGTCTAGTAGGATATAATGCTCAATAGACTGAACTCCAGGCAGTGAGGATTTCATTCTCTCCTTGCCCTTGCTCACCTCATAATAGCTCTTAGAAGAATTTTGACTAATTGATAGTAAGACCAGTTATTTGAACCAAAAGACAAGTTTCATAGAGCAGCAGGTATAGAAAGAAATATTTGGACAAGCCATCTGGGATCCTTTTGTTTTCATCCTCTAATGTGCATGTGAATTATCTGGAGGTCTTATGTAGATTCTGTTTCAATAGGTCTGGAGTGTGGCCTGAGATTCTGCATTTCTAACAAGTGTCAATGCTTTAGGTCTGCAGACCATATTGAGTAGCCCATAAGTCTTGCCCATAAGTCTATAGTTTAAAAGGCATATTCAAGTATATGATTCCCTGATAAACTAGGAGTATGTTTTTCCCCAATTTGTTAAATAAAACATGAAGGTAGTGATTGTAATGAGTAAAGGAATCTTTTCAAGAGATATGATGAAATGCATTAGTTCAACAATTTATTGAGCTAGAAGTTTGTGCTCAAGTGAATAAGATTGTCTCCCTGTCCTCAAGTTTATATTATAGTCCACGTTGACTATCACTTTTGAAATGAAAAGGGCGGAAATTAGTATTTGAGAGCTTATGTGCCTGACACTATGCTAGGCATAATTTATTTTTATCCTCTCAGCAACCTTGTAAGGAAGGTGGTGGAATCCCAGTTTTACATCCAAGCAAACTTGGACTTAAGAGGTGATTCAGATTTGCTCAGAGTTACACAACTTTAGTGTCAGGGTAGTAATTCAATCTGAGTTCCAATTGATTTTAAAAAATCTTGTGCTGTCTCTGCTGTTTATATTTCCCAAAACTATCGTGTTTCCCCGAAGACCTAGCGCAAGGAAAAATAAGACATCTCCTGTAAATAAGACCTAGTGCAACTTTGGGAGAAAAAATTAATATAAGACACTGTCTTATTTTCGGGGAAACAGGGTATTATCAAACCTCATTTGGAAAGAAACATCAAGAAAAGTGATTTAGAAATTGAAATAGTAACTATTGTCAAAATTGATATGGGCAGTTAGAGATTTCCTTTTTTTTTCTTTCTTTTTTTTTCATATGTTTTTCTAAAGTCAGGAAAACCTTAGGTATTTGTTTTCTTAGTTACTAGATTTGCAAAAAGGTGTTCTTTAATTCACATTACTAAAATAATGAAATAGCATTGTAAATTATGTCTATATATTTTTGTCATTTAACATTTAGAAAAAAAATAGTCTGAATGAAGCCAAAGATAGGAATCTGTCATTATTTATGGAAAACCTTTGGCATTCTTGTTTTTATTGAATATGTTATAGTTAAGGGGATAATAGTTTACAGGAAAATGAGTACATGCATCCATGTCTGTAGTTTTATAGTATTTCCACATGATGGCAGCAGTCACATAACTGAGTGCTCAGTTTTTAAAGGTTTATGTATCTTTAGAAGTCTTTGACTATATATATATATGTATGTATGTATGTATGTATATATATGTATGTATATATTAGTTTATTTTTAAATATACATTAAATTTTACCTCATTATCTCAATAATAATTTGAGAAATTAAATAGAAAAATTTAATGCAAAAATCTGTTTGCCCTTTATACAACAGCCTACATCTGTTTTTACTTAAGCATGTGATAAATGAGTAGTTAAAACAATAGTAAAGTTGGAACTTAAATCCTTTCATACCCAGTTCTAATAGAAGATTCTAGATTTATGATTTAGTTAATTTTGTATCTGGAAACAGCATTGGTTTATCCATTGTACCACTGGTTGTTTTCTGCTACCAGTGAGCCAGTATTGCCATAACACACTAAAACTTGCTGTTTGTATTTTTAAATATATGCTTAAGTGTTTTTTAGTCTTAGGTCAGCACAAAAGAGAATGTGTCACTAATGTTATTCTTCTATGTTGAAATTCTCTTAGTACAAATATCTGTAGTATAAAATTGGTGAAAGATTAGTTCAGTATGATGGAACTCAGTTACTGTTCTAGTAGAAGAATCTACTTAAAACCCAGTTTGCACCCCCCCAAAAAAATCTGTTCTGGTGGTTTCTAGTTAAGCACTGTGTTTGGAAAGGACTTGAGTTCATCTTCATGACACACCCTATGCTAAAAATTGCTAATAAGATTTTATACTCTGCTTCATCATTGGACTTTCTCTTACCCAGAGTCCTGAGTGTTATAGCTAGAAGGGACCTGTAAGCATCTAGGCCTCTTGGGTGGAAACATTCTAACTACCCAAACTCTGACTCTAACCAAAAAAGGTGAGGACAAAGGATGAGTAGTAGTGGTGGTGGTTTTGGTGATGACAGGTAAGAAGCGGGGTGCATTAATCTTCTTTGTTCTCATCACTGGGGATTCCAAACACTTCACTTAAAGTTTCACTACAGGGAGGCTGCAATCAGATAGATATTGGTTTCCTGGTCTGAAAATACACAATTCCTACAGATCAAAACAAGTCATGAATTCTGTGACTTGTGCTAAAGTGAGATTTAATTTAAGAGTCCTCTGTAATCCCAGTCTTAACTCATTACCTTTTAATATCAGTTTTTACTAGATGATTATAGTATTTCAAAATATTACTTAATTATCATAGTAAGTGCTGGAATTATAATTGAATAGCCTAACTTTTAGTATATACAGCTCAAAGGTGCATCATCTTATTTAATGAACAAGAGGGAATAGCTCCATTCATCATCTGCTTTTACTTTAGTTAGTTAACAAGTAATTATTCAATTTTACCTCAGTTCTTTTCCCAGGAAAACTGGAAATGTATAAAAAAGAAGGCATCAATATTAAGTATGTTTGCCCAAATTTCACCTTACTTACTTGATTTCTTAAAAGTTGTAGTTCTGTCCTTTCACTCAGATCAGATTTTCTAAAAAAAAAAAAACCTTTCTCTACATATTTGTATTATTCTTGCATAAATTTGGTCTGCATGTTCAAATGCTTTTTTAAAGAACCAAGTTTGCAAGAGATTCTTAAGCTATTTTTAGCAAACCTGTGCCAGAAGTATATGTCAAGAAGCATATTTGTTCATTTAAGTGTTGAGTGCCAATGTTTAGGGCATTATTTAGGCATTGGGGTATGTATAAACATAATTGAGACATGGTTCCTGCTTCTAGTTATATTTTTCAGGGTAAGTAACATCTTGATTAAGTGTGTTATTCCATTATATATTGTTGGTCATTTTAATTTCAGAATTTCATATCTAAAAAGGGGTATTTTTTAAAGTAGTTTTATTAGCATGTTATTAAAATTAATGTTAATTAGTATTGTAATAATTCACAGATATATTTTTACAAAGAAATGAATGACAATCTTAACGAGATTTTTTTCCCTCTCTCTCATTAGGTTCTTGGGGTGTCAATGTTTTAATACCCGTACACAGTTAAATCTCTGGTGAAGTCATTTTCTAAGTGGAAGAGGAAATTTTAAAATAAAGTGTGGTAGATACAGTGAAATTCTGTACAGATTTTTCTCTAAGGAGAATATGACATGCTTACGCTTACCAAGATCAAGTGCATTGAGGGGCAGTTTTGTTTGCCTGAAAAAAAGTAAAGGACAAGTAAACAATTTGATGATAAGCTACAGTTTTCTTAGAAAGTAAATATTTTATTTATGCGCTGTTAGTTGGCCTTTGAATCAATTATTTCATGCTTTTTTAAAAGAAAATATAACAATCTGAAGAGACATTTGGTACAGACATGAATTCTCTCACATTTATTTACTGGGTGTACTAAGTAATGATGACCTTTGCTGGATTTCTGTTTATATCCAAGAAATAAAGTTAAGGATGGATTTATTTCCCTACCCTGAAATTATAGGATAGAATTGTTTTTAGCATTCTAAATTTAAATGCTTAAAACATCAATCAACAAAGCTTTCTTTTAAATATTGTAATTGTGGAGAAAGTAAACTTATAAGCAGAACTTTTACAATTTTTTCATCTAAAATGTATTTTAAGATATTTTTAAAATCCAAGAGCTTCTCTATACTTTTCAGAAATATCCAGATTCAGTGAACTGCCAGAAGGTAACCAGTCTCAAACATGCTTATACCATTATCAACCCTGAAAGTTTGCTTGTCCTTTAAAATAAAAATGTAATGTTGTGATATTCCTTCCAGTAGTGCCACTGTATTTTGTCTCCAAATAAAAGAAGCTTATTGTAGTATGTTTGCAGAAAAATTCTAAACAAAAAATTATACAGCTTATTAGAGTGTGGGAATAGGGATCTAAATTTTAAATAAAATTATATATATATATAAATTGGTGCTGATTTTATAATTGCGCAGTTTGTTTAGTTTTTTCTTACTTTTAAATTCCAACTTAAAATTATGAGGTTTCAGAAATATATTGAAAGTTTAACAATGTTTAAAAATAGAAAAGCATGAGTGTTCATGCTTTAAAATGATTTTTAAATTTGTATTTTATATTGTTTTATCTATCTGTCTTTGCAAGCAGTCTTCAGGTTAAAGATACTTCTAACAGGTTACAGTACATTTCCTCTGTATGTAAATTAGATGGGATAATAGAATTCATAACCCATAATATTCTTTGAAAGCTAAGCTTTAAACTTCATTTATGTCCTTTCACAAATAAATTAGTTTAAAACAGGAAGTGGCCACTTGCCATTTTGACATCAACTCATTTTGCTGAGGCTTAGGCAGCTAGACATCGTTTAAAACAAAATATTAACTTATATTACATGTGTATCTATCTTTTGTCAGTCGTCTCTCAGTTCTTGAGGTATATTATTTTAATCATTCCATGCCTTAATATGCTTGCAATCCAAGAATATCTTCAGATGGGGGTGAATACCAAAAGGCTTCAGTTCTTAAGAGTCAAAAATCAACAAGCATTGGGCTGTGGTAGCCAAAAACCATAGGTTAGCTAAAAGATCATAAAGAAATTCAATTATTTTATTAAATCATGGTGAATAACAGATGAAACCAGGCTTGTCTAACAGATTTTCCATCAACGAATAATATTATGTGCAAAAGTATTGCCTATGTTGTTTTTCACACCACTGCATTTACTAGAACTGCTGAGAGGACTGTATATATGATTTTAAACCTAAGTTGATTTTTTTTCTCATTCTTGAAAGAAGTACTTCTTTGTGAAAGCAGTTCTTACAGCTTTGTTTTCAACCAGCTAAAAATGTTTTATATATTACTCTAACCTGTTGTCCTCCACATTCTATTGTCCTAATTGTACTGTTTTCTGATTTGTATTTATGTCTTGAGACAGTAACTTTTTGAATAAAAATAAACCTACAGTGTGTTGTATGTTTTATCTTTTGTAATTGAAAGAGAAGGGTGGTTATAAATGGTTTAGAAAGTATATCTATTAGCACACGTTTTGACATATTTGGGTAGAAATAATTTATAGAAAACATTGCCATTTTATATTTGTCATAAATAATGTATTTTAAAGTGAGATTAAATCCCTAATTGGGTTATTACTTTAAAGTAGAAACCCATAACCATTATTACTTTAATTTTTATCTGGTAAGGATTAAACACTTTAAAATAGTTGCATTCATCCGGGATACATTCAAGTTGCCTACAATGTGCTCTGCATGTGTTAGAGATCTAACACTAAACAAGATAGACAAGATCCCCCTCATAGATCTAGTGGTATAAACAAATAAGGAAAGAAACAAAATAATAATAAACCTGTAATAGTTGCTATCAGGGTGAGCTGAGCTGGAGAATGTGTTTGAGTCTAAATTAAATCTCCCTTAGTTAGGAGCTTGTGCTATGCATGGACATGGGTGAAAGACAACATCTGAAAAAAGAATTTGGTAATTGAACTCTTATTGAAAGCTCTTGTAGTCTTCAATGTGTTAACAGGATTTGCATTGTACTCATTTGCATTGTAAACTGATTAAAAGTAGTATAACACTGGCACATTGGTCATTTAAGCTAGTTTGTAGATCATAGTATAAGACCAGTCTTCTATCATTAGGTATTCAGAATTAATATATTAAGTGATAGTGGATAGCTGGGCACTGTTTTAAGTGGTTTCCATGTAGTAATTTATTTAGCATCATGATAATAGGTGATACATGTTATCACCCCCCAATCTATCTCCTCTTTTTTTCTTAATAAATCACGAGGCAGTGAGAAAAATGAGGCACAGCGAAGTTAAAATACCTTGGACAAGGTTATATGACTAGTAAGTGATGGCTGCAATTTAAGTCCCAAGAGCATTGACACTGATACATACGGATAGCATAGATAGCTGCATAAAGGTAAAATAGCACATTATTCATTGTGCCATGGTGAGGAAATGGAACTTCTTTAATTTGGTGTGAATCAACACTGCTTAATATGCTACCCAGTTGGCTTCTTTAAAGAGAATATAAATTAAATCTGAGCCCATCAATAGTTTCTAAAGTTGCAGGGAAAATAGGAAAATCCAAAAGATATGTCTTCAATATCCTGCCACCAAGGGAGTTTATAAAGGATTACATCAAGCATGTCAAACTCAAAGGCTAACACTGGCTAAATAAGGTTTAAGTATATGCAAAAAAACACAAAAGCTTCAATCCTCATAGAAATGTAGGTTTATTTCGATAGAGACATGCTGATAATGAAGGGCTGAAATAAATGAATTTTATATACACACACACACACACACACATACATATATTGAGTGGCCAGATTATTATCTCTGAATGCATAATAATCTGGCCACTCATTGTACTTCTCTTGAGTACTTCATTTATTTGATATCAAAGCTACTATAAATCGTGCACCTGATCAGTTTTCCCCTTTGTACTGGCTAATAGGAAGCTCAGGGCAAATAGGTGGTTGATCAGCAAAAGTCTAGAATACTTTGGGTACCCATTTGAAATACAGATATACTGAGTGGCCAGATTATTATGTGTTCAGAGATTATCATAATCTGGCCACTCGTGTGTGTGTGTGTGTGTGTGTGTGTGTGTGTGTGTGTGTGTGTGTGTGTCGGCCCCCATCAGGGCAGGCCAGCTGGACCCCACCCGTGCATGAATTCATGCACCTGGTGTCTAGTTAAACTATAGACCATTTCCATAAAAATATTTTCCTTGAACATTAACTTACCAGACACTGAGTAACTACACAAATTAGTAAGTATAACACAAATAAACTTATTTTCTTATTCTCCAAAAGCAAAATATTTTCTGTTGTACACACCAAACAATTCAATCTAAGACTAATGATGTGGTAACCGGCTGCCAAAATATTGGCTGCTAGTATTAGTGGAGAGAAATGGTGCGCCTGCGCATGAGACATGTAAGGGAAATGAATGCAACACTTACAGTAATCAGTCAGCGAATGTTGTAGTTAATGTATCACAGGATATTGTAAAAGTTATGAAATTTTTATTAAAAATGTTTCTTACATACCATTACATTGGCTGGGCTGCAAAAATATTTGTTGTGAGCCATGAGTTTGACAAGCTTGGTTTACATGGATGAATTCCAGGTCAAATAGATTATTCTGGTAGCTGTAATGACTCATCAAAAGAAAATGAAGCAATAAAGCCCAAGGCAAGGCCTCTGTTAATGAGGAAACTAGGTGATTGAGTTCACTATCACTTAGGTCAAACTACTGTGTGCCTGGCCTTGTGCACACTGCTGAGCAAAGGCCAATAAGACAGACTTTGTTTTTTAATTGCTTACAGTTCCATTGGGGGTTGGGATACAGATGCAAAACTAATAAAATGGAGTAAATTCAATATTTTTACTGGGCGTTAAGGAAGCCCGGAAATAGTTATTTACCTTTTTTTCTCTTTTGGTACAAAATTGATAAATGATGAAATATGCAAACTGTAAGTATATGTATGGTGAGTTTTAACAAGTGATTACAGTTGTTTAACTCAAACCCCTATCAAAGATATTGAACATTAGCATTAACACAGAAAGTTCCTTTCTACTTACCAATCAATCCCTGCATCTATCCCTTCTATGGAGGTAGCAACTGTTGTTGCTTTTCACCATAGATCAAATTTGGCTCTTCTAGAACTTTATATAAATGGAATTATATAGTAGGTATTTTTGTGAGAAGTTTCCTTCACTCAGCATGTTTCAGTGATTTATCCATGTTGTGTGTATCAGCAGTTTATGAAGTAGTTGATGGAAATCTGGGTTTCCATTTTGGGGCAGTATGGGTAAAGCTGCTACTTGAGTTTAATTTTAAAAGGTGAAAGGGGGGAGGGTGGGTGGTATAGTGAACAAGACACAATTCCAGGCAAAGGGGGCAGCATACCAGTAAACAATCATCAGGGATGCAAACTAGTAACTGCATAGGGGTGGGTGGGCAAGACTGGAAGATAGTTGGCCATCCACTACCTCTCATTAGCTTTAAAAGTGAAAGACATTCACAATTGG